TTATTAACACATAAACATATAATATTGAGAATATTTAATAGCGCACAACTTATGAATTCAAATATTTTTAATAAACAATTTTTAAATATTTACAAATATTGACTAATTACAGTATTATGTGATCGTTAGCTAATTGGCATGTAATCTGGTGATTACAATTAGATCAACGGATTTCCATGTATTGTGTTTGTTGAATCCAAAATCTTTTCAAAACGTGGTGAATAATTCTATTTGTTAATTCATTGATTGAAGTAAATTAATAAAAAATATTGCATGAAATATATCTAAAAACAAATATAGTGATTCTGTATTTTTCCAAACAAAAGTCATCATTTAGTTGGTATTGTGATTTCATTTACGTTAATTGCTGAAAATCGTTTCCAAGTTTTTAATCTTATTTGTATGCAAAGTAGGCTTTAGATATGTAAATGGTTTATTAATCTTATTTGTATGCATAGTAGGCTTGCTTTTACGTGTTAACATTCCTACTTTGCAACAAATTTGAAAAGGGTAGTATTTAAGCCATTTTCAATTACCAAGTTAAAAGTAATACTGATAAATATCGACCCAACACTGCAAAATATAAAATAATTATCTATGAGACTACGGGGGTGTTGAAATATTTTTCATATTTTATCTTGAATTCAAATTTTTTTCAACACTTGGTGACATGGACAAGTATATTTAATTATGTTGTCAATTAATGAAAATTTGTTTTTTATGCTAAAATCTAACCTTTAAGTCATTCTTTCCTATACTAGACTAAATGTGACTTAATGGTAGCTTAGGTGCAAATAGTTTAATAAAAAATGGTGGATGTAGAATGAATCCAAATGATTGTGTTTTTTCTTATGGACTTAGAGTAAGCAATTAAATGAGAATAGCTATTGAATTCGATTTTTTTTCAGACACTTGGTGACATGGACGAGTGTACTAAATTATATCGTCAATTAATGAAAATTTGTTTTTATGCTAAAATCTAATCTTTTAAGTCATTCTTTTCTATACATGACTAAATGTGACTTAATGGTAATAAAAAATGGTGGATGAGAACGAACCCAAATGATTGTGTTTTCTCTTATTAACTTAGAGTAAGCAATTAAATGAGAATAGCTATTTTTAATTCTTATTTATAATTTTGCTTTATAAACATGTTCATAACAAAAATTATTCTCTCATTTTATCTCTATCACACCCATATTATTCCATTTTTTTGTTTCCTTTTCTATTGAGTGGTCTTTTCAATTTAATCTGAACTTCTTAAGTAAGATTTATAAATTTTAAGGTTTTCAATTTCAAAAGTTAGATTAAACCAAACTTATGAGTGATTCTATGTTATTAATCTTCATATTTTATTTTTTTTTCATCTTTCCATGCCTATCCGTTTATCTTTTCTCTTTTTATTTTCTTTCAATTTTTTTTTTCCATTGTTATTCAATTTCTTGACATGTTAGAAATCACATTTTATTTTTTCCATTTGTTGTGTTTATTAGATGCTAATTACAATATTTATCAAACTCTTTAAATATCTAAAAAATCTTTATTTAAACCAAAACCAATAATTGAAAAAATTATTAAAATCTTTTCTAGATATATATGTAAAACTTAAACTGAAAAATAGAAATATTATACTTTAACATATATTGTCGGGTATATACATAATACAAAAGTAAAAAATGACAATTATTTCAAAATGATTGAGCAAGAATAATTAAATGTTCACACTACAACAAAATGATCAAATTCCAAGGGAAAGTTCAAATACAAATATATTTTGATGGAATTCCAACAAAATTATTTCGTTGGAACGAGTTTTTCATTGGAATTTTCATTGGATTTTGAAGATTCCAACGGTAGATTTTCCAACGAAAATTCCTACGTTAAAAACTGTTGGAAAAATAGGCGTTGAAATCATCAAACTCTATCTAGAATCCAATGGAAAATTCATTTCAACGCAATTTTGTTGGAATTTCGTTGGAATCATTCCAACGAAAGCTATACCATTGAATTTTCTTTGTAATATATTATAGTAGGATTTCCCGTTGGATATAACATTTTTTTTGTAGTGTAAATTGTTAAATATTAAGAACATCAAAATAAAATAAAATTTATGTTATATAATATTTTTATATTAATCTATATTTATTTTCTAATTTAATTAATACAAGATTATTGTACCCGTGCATCGCACGGGCCATGTACTAGTATTTAATTGAAAGAATATACATTAGCCCCAATTTTTGACAAAATCTACTTTGTATGATTTAATTGACTTGTCTAATTCGAATTTACAAAGAATTGCAGCCACTTCTTAAAAATTTTCAAAAAAATTACTAATAAAAGTAAAAATAAAAGTTTTAGGCGGGAATTCAGTTGCTATTTCAGGTAAATGTCAAACCTTTTTATATTTATATAGATTTAATAAATATAAAATATTGACAAGTATATGTAAGGTAAATAAAACCGACACTGAATACTAATAACTAAAATTTTAAAATATAAACAATAATCAAGCCGACATATAAAGTTATGGACCGTATATTTCACTCAATTTTAGTTTTGACTGCTATACGGTGCAATATGTGAGACATTAATGTGCATTTTATCTAACAATATCGTGCACGACTTTATACAGTGCAACGTGTTGTGTTATAAGGTGCAGCGTATTAATGTATAAAGTGCAACGTATTAATTTTGGTAAGTTAGCATGTCTGTATTTTTTTTAGATAGACGATTTAATAAAGTGCAATATATTTTTTTATAAGGTGCGTCATTCCGTTATATAAAGTGCACTATCTAATTTATACATTCTCATATAAATTGTGTGTATAATTGTACATTGAATTAACTTAAATAATTAAAATAGTTTTTTATTTATTATTTTTATTATAATTTATTTATTATTACAAAATATTTTTGTATTGTTATGTATATTGTAAAATACATTTTACATCTTAATACTTATATTTAATAATTTTAATATTCATACTTGAAAATATAATATAAAAACATATCAAAATCTAAAAAGTGCAATCGAGCATACAATAGTGTGCAATTCTCTATTATTATTGTCCAATCAACCGATCGAGTATATTTTATGTGTTTCAAATTTATAAATTTTTTTAATGTGTATTTCAATTATCGTTATTTTTTCCATTTATCAATTTTTTTATATTGTAAAAATATATTTAGTATTTATATGTTTTATTTAATATATTTGTATTATGGGTTGTTTATTTTCAAAAGAAGTTCATTTAATCGTAACCACAACAATAACATCTAAACACGTTAAATAATCAACACATTATATGGTCAGTTGTAAGTAAATCAAAAGTTTAAAATAATTTTTGTATTTTGAAGTGATTAGTGTGTTGATTATTTAATAATTAAATGAGAGGTTAAATAAATAAAAAGTAACGGTTTTTGGAGGGAAAATGAAATTTTGCCACATAGGTATAATTTAATAGGTTTTATTAAATACTCATTAGCTAGCAATTATATATACTAGTATTCGACCTGTGCAAAATGCACAGATATAAATAAATTATTGTTATATGTATGAATATAATGATTATTAATTTTTCTTGCACTTTTTGTAGTCTAAATTTACAATAAAAAGAGCTGAAATGTTTATTTTTTAAAATTGCGTTTATAATATTGGATATAAGGTATATTTTGGTATATATATATATATATATATTTTTTTTTTTGTGAACCATTTATTATTTATTTAGGAATTTCAAATACGTTTTTTATTTTTCAAAAGAAGTTAATTTAAATGTAACCACAACAATAACATCTAATCACGTTAAATAGTCAACATATTATATGGTTAGTTGTAAGTAAATCAAAAATTTAAAATGATTTTTGTAATTTTGAAGTGATTAGTGTGTTGATTATCTAATAATTAAATGAGATGTTAAATGAATAAAAAGTAACGGTTTTTGGAGGGAAAATTTATATTGCCACATAGGTATAATTTAATAGGTTTTATCCTCATTTATTAGGGTTATTTGGATCTGTACCATTGTAACTCTTTGTTATTTGAGATGTACCATTACATTTCATGTAATTGGAGATGTACCATTACAATTCAATCTTTCTTTGACAAATGTCATTTTCTACGTATGCTAGCACCTTGGGCCCATTGTCAGGATTATGAGGACGGTATGTATTTCCGTATGGACATCTTTGCCCCTCTCCCAAAGCTGAAGGCTATCGCTCGTACCCTTCCCCTTCCCGTCGCTCGCTCCCTTTCTTCCCATCACTTCTCGCTCGTTTTCATCCCGAAACGACGTTGGCGGCCGGAACCCTAACCCTAGGCGTCGCCGGTGTCCTGGAGGTTGTCCCCACCCGCGCACGCATCCCTCTGCAGCATCTTCATCCCTCCCCAGCGACCTCACAATGGCGTTCTCTTGAGCGCCATGGCTGACCCCGCGGACATGGAGCACGACGAGGACAGGTATGGAGCTCGATCCTTTAATCTCTTGGGTACCCTAATCTCTTCGATCTGATGCAAGTTGATAGAGGAACTTGCACTGACGCTAGTGTTTTTATGGGATTCATTTGCTGCTAGGGTTCGATTGTTTTCCATGGATGGTTGGCCATCCACAATCGCAGATGTTGATGCTTTTCAGTCCCTAGAGCCTATATGTGTGGTTCCTCCAGATGCTAACCAAGATCCACAGCCAAATCTTACTAACCATGCTGAGGAGCCTAATCCTGTTAGCCCTAGTGCTCAACCAGATGGCGGAGCAGAGCCTGAACTAGAGCCTGACAGGGAGCCAGACATGTTTGATAATGAGGAGGAATATGTGGGTGTTGATGATGAGGCAATGTACATGCCAGTACCTCCTCAGTACACTAACAATGTGCAGGCTTCTAACCATATTCCTCCAGAACCATTTGTTAATGTCGTTGCAATCGATGATGAGACAGAGGTTGATGATGCAGATCCACAGGAGGTCCATGTGATCTATGATCCACAAAACCCCAACATTGTCAAGGGAGCACGGTTTCCTGATATTATTTCATTCAGGAAGGCAATTAGGCATTATGCAGTGAAGAAAGGCTTCGAGTTTGCTAATTTGCAAACTGATCCATCAAGATTTATTGCCAAGTGTAAAGCAGAGGGGTGTCCATGGCGCATCCATGCTTCTAGGATTTTTGACGGCAAGACAATAGAGGTAATTAGTTAATATTATTGGCGTACATAATTCCTAGAAGCTAATTATTTCTTATTTATGCAACTGACACCACTGTATTCTGTAGATCAAAAGGCTGCCTTTCGAACACGAGTGTCCTACTACCAAATTCCAAGAAACAAAGATGGCCAACCAAGGTTGGTGTGCAGATAATTTGACAGATTGGCTGAAGAAGAATCCAACCAAGGGTGCAACTGACTGCAAGGAGAAGTTGGAGGGTGACTTTGGCATCCAATTGAAGTACTCCAAAGCATGGTCAGGTATGCAGGTAGCCTTAGACCAGATACATGGTAAATATGATGAGAGCTTTCAGTTGCTTTTTAATTGGGCTGCTCAAATTGAGCAAGTTTCTCCTGAGAGTTTAGTAGAGATAGAGGTGGAGAAAATAGGTGAGAAACACAGGTTCAAGAGGATGTTTGTAGCTCTTGCTCCATGTATTCAAGGATTTTTGGATGGGTGCAGACCTTTCATTGGTGTAGATGCTTCCTGTTTGAATGGTAAATATAAAGGTCAATTAGCTTCTGCTGTTGGTGTGGATGGACATAATTGGCTATACCATATAGCTTATGGAATTTTTGAGTCGGAAACTGAAGATAATTGGAGATGGTTTTTGGACCAGCTGAAAAGGAAGATAGGAGATGTCCCAAATCTGGTTATATGTTCAGATGCATGTAAAGGACTAGAAACTGCAGTGGGGGTTGTTTTCCCACTAGCTGAGAACAGGGAGTGCATGAGGCATTTGTATCAGAACTTCATGAAGAAATACTCTGGTGATGTGTTTACTGATCACTTGTACCCTGCAGCTAGAAGCTACACAAAGTGGCTATTTCAGTGGCATATGAAGAGAATTGCAGATTTTGAACCTAAAGCCATTGAATACCTTGAGAACCACCACAACAGGATCTGGTATAGGTGCAGCTTCGGTGAGAATAGCAAGTGTGACTACTTGACAAATAATGTATCAGAGAGCTTCAATGCACAAATAAAAAAGTTCAAAGGATTGTTGTTGCATGAATTGGTGGACAGAATCAGAGAACTTATAATGGAGAAGAGATATGCAAGGAAGATGATTGCTAGGCAGTGGGCAGATGGAATCCTACCTAATGTGATCAAGGAGCTCAACTTGATCAGCAATAATCTCAAGGTTGTGAAGATTGCTGTTAGTGATGTTGATATGGCTGAAGTAACCATCTTAGATGACTGGAATAATCAGAAGAGGGAGACAGTTGACCTAAAGAACCATAGTTGTGGCTGCAGACAATGGCAAGTGATAGGGAAACCATGCAAACATGCATTGGCTTGGATTTTGTCTAATAGAGGGCTAAGAATTGCAGACTATGTACATGAGTACTACTCAGTGGCAAGGTTCAAGGCAGCCTATGAGCAAAGAATTGAACCAATCCCAGATAGGTCACAGTGGCCAGTTGTGGAATTGCCATTCAAAGTACACCAACCCTTGCTAGGCAGAAGTGCAGGAAGACCAAAGGTTCAGAGACAGAGAGGTTGTTTGGAGAAAAGGGCTTCCAAAAAAAAGGTCAAATGTAAGAGATGTGGAAATTTTGGACATTTTGGAAAAACTTGCAAACTAGCAGAGGTTGGAAAAGATGGTGAGAGAGCTCCAGCAAGGGGAAAGGCAAATAAAAGGTATGTTTGTGTAACTTGTTTTACTCGTTTTCAGTTGTTGTCACTTGTTTTCACTTGCTAATTGCAATATATATATATAAGAAAAGAGACCAAACAAATGAAGCTGGAGCATCCCAAACAAATGAAGCCGGAGCCTCCCAAGCCAAGAAATTGAAGAAGTGCACCAGCAAAAAGAAGAAAAAGACTCCCGTGAAGAAAAGGCTCATGAAGGCTGCAGCCAACCCTCCTGTGACTGTAGTTAGTAGCCTTAGGAGGCTGGTCTATGAAGACTAGAGCCATGTTATCGCCTCATAGTGTCTATGAAGGCTGCTTTTGTGTAATGAAATCAGTGCTTGTAGTTGGTTTGCTGGACCATAGATGGCATGCTCCTGTGTGGTCTTAGTGTGTGGTGTGGTTGAACCCTTTTATTTGGAGTTGTTGGAGCAACATTGCCGTGAACCCGTTTGTCAATTAAGTGGTTGCTACATTAAGACCTTTTATTTTGTGCTGTCAATTAAGCGGTTGTCATGAAATATGCAAGTTGTCATATATATGCAAGCTGTCTTTTTTTTTTTTTTTTTTTTTTTTTTTTTTTTGGATGTGAATGCTACCTGTCCAGCCACTTTTTTTTGGTAGTGAACAAGTTCAACACATAATGGAGTCTGTTATTTCTTTTGGCTTAAAAATCTTGTATTTGGAATGATGGAACATCCTAGTTGGGAACTAAGTTGCTTGCTGCACGGGCACATTTTTCTGGAGTCATATATGCAGCCATATATATGCATATATATCTGAATTTTTATGGATGTCTCATATATGCAAGCTCTGAATTTTTTCATATGCAGCTCTGAATGCTAGTTCCGGGATACAGCTCCATTTTTTCTGGAGTCATATATGCAGCTCATATATAGCTCTGAATTTTTTCAACACATAATGGAGCTCTGAATTTTTCAACACATAACGGCCGAGGTCGAGGACGGCAGGTGGAGCTAAGCCGGGCGCGGCCCCCAGGTCCTCGGCGGCCACCGTCGGCGGCTAGGGTTCAGGCGACGTCGAGCCGTCCGGGAAGCCGTCGTACAGAGTGATAGAAAGAGCGAGGTGAGGAATAGAAGCGATGTTCAAGTCGCTTCCTGGAGAGGGGTGAAGTCGTCCATACGGATATACGCACAGTACTCGTACATCTGACAGTAGACCAAAGAGGTAGCATACATAGAAAATGACATTTATCAGAGAAAGATTAAATTGTAGTGGTACATCTCCAATTACATGAATTGTAATGGTACATCTTAAATAACAAAGAGTTGCAATGGTACAGATCCAAATAACCATTTATTAAATGCTCATGAGCCAGCAATTATATATATATATATATATAGATATAGATTTCTTCATTTAAAAATAAATACATAAATAAATAAAATAGGGCGTGGATCATAAATAAATTCGATATAAAAATGCAAACTCACCAGTTGGAAACACTACCCCGAAATCCAGAGCACGGGCACCGCCGACCGGCCACTCACGGTCCTCTGCGACTGCAAATCCGCTTGCCCTCGCCCCGCTTCAGTCCCTACGTCCCTCAGCTACTCTCTAATTCAGGTATTGATGGCGAAATCTTTGGCTATTTGAATGTCTTTTCATTATTACAACCTGTTGCTAAATTTGAGAAAGATTTTGCAAAACATGGTTTGATTGATTGATTTAATGTAGGAGTCCAAAGTAGTTGAGGATTGTTGGCAATGGCAGATATCGGAATTGTCCCAAACACCACCACACATCTAATTCCCGAAAAAGGTCAGCCACATTGCACCAACGACAATTTGATGCTTCTGGTGCAGCATTTACATGACGACGGAACCCTCGATTGCTCCCTAATCTCAACCCAAATCAACGACTTCAAAGTGCTGCGACAGGATGATGACGAAATCCTGAATCTACTCAAAGAAGATGACTACGATCCCACGTTCTGCACCTTATATAGTGTTTGTGCAACTTGCAACTCATGGATGCTGTTGTCATGTAACCAAGATCCTCCATTTGACTTTCTGTGGAACCCCACAACCGGCGAGAGGATAGCTCTTCCGTATTTTGCTTTGGCTTCCCCAACTTTGTCGGACTATTGGGCTTACGGGCTCATGGTTGATCCTGCAGGCGAACAGTGGAAGGTGTTGAGGTCTCGCGTGATGAACAAATATAGTGCGGATGAGGAGATCTATGCTGAGCTATTGTCTTCCGCAAGTGATTCGTGGAAGCGAATTCCGTGTTATGTGTATATTAGTCCCTGTCAACAGCCTTCTCTTTACATCAATGGCTTTTATTATTGGCCAACTGATGTGGGTGGCATTCTTAGGTTCGACTTTACTGAGGAGAAGTTTGGGGCCCTGATCCCCGAGCCCAAGAGCGATAAGTTCCCTGGTGCCGCTGTATCCACTGACAGTGCTTGTCTTGTTGAGTATGATGAGTCGCTTGCTTCTGTTGTCTTCAAGCGTGGTGATTGGCTGAAGAAGATGGAAGTAACTAGTATTCCTGCTTCTGCTGAAAGGAAGCCTTTTGTTTTCGAGATTTGGGTGTGGAAAGAAGCCGCCACGTGGTCTTGCGTGTTCACAGGGGAAATCCCGGTTTCGGATGCTTCTGTTAAAAGAGTATTGGGACTCTACAAGAAGCGTAATCTGCTTCTTGAGAGGTCCAGTGGTGACCTATTCGTTTACGACATTCAAACAAAAGCATTGGAGAATCTCGGTATCCGTGGCGGGCGTATGCGTCTGACGGCCTTCCCTTATGTGGCCAATGCCGAACCCAGCCACAAATCCTCCTGGAAAAATCGCTCGTCTGGCTTCACATGTACTGTAGATGGTGTTCCTGCTACTATTGGGGCGTGTACTCGCGCTTTGAAAGCTAACGACTACGGTGTTCTGATGCTTATGGTGCAGTGTGTACTTGACTGGACCCGCATTTACTTTGAAATGTCAATAATATCAACGGAAAACAACTCGTTCAAAGTGCTGCTACAAGACGTTGATGATAGTGATCTTCTTCGAAACTTGTCTAGACTCATACCTGAAAACTACGATATCGATTGTATGAATGCCAAATATCATGTCTTAGCGAGTTGCAACACATGGATGCTGTGGGAATATACCGAAATTCCATTAGATCCGGAGGTGCTTCTGTGGGACCCTAGGGAGAACGTTCTTGTAAAACTTCCTTCTTTTAGGGCGAAGCCGCGCGTGCCTCACCCAACTTTCGAGTGCATGTGGGCTTACGGCATCGGGTTTGATCCTTGTGCACCTGTGGACTATAAGGTGGTGAGATGTCGCGTGTTTGAGTATTTTCGTTCCAACGGCGAAGCCCATGCGGAGCTGTTTTCGTTTGGAACTTGGAAGGAAATTCTGTATCCCCATGATCCTCAGTGGGAGGTCTTTCAGGACCCTTCGCTTTTCATTGATGGCTTTTATTATTGGACAGCAGAGCATTCCACCAATGAAGAACTTGCTATTATTTCGTTCGACTTTGCTAAGGAGGAGTTTACCCCTACTCTCATCCCTATGCCCTGTAGCGAAATTGTGAGTGACATCACACGTGATTGTGTTTGTATTGCCGAGTTTCATGGGCTGCTTGCTGCTATTGTTTTCGTTAATCCTGGACAGGAGAAAAGTACGAATATCAATTGTCCAAGACAGAAGCAGCAGAATAAGAAGCAGACGAAGCTGATGAAGACGGAGGAGTACCGTGCGCCTAATTGTATTTTCGAGATTTTGGTATGGGAGAATGGCATGTGGTACCATGTCTCCACGCACAAAGTCCGTCATCCTAATCCTGCTGTTAGTATGAGGGTCGTCGGCTTCTACAAGAATGAAAAAGTGTTTCTTCAGGACTCGGAGGGTTACCTTTGTGTTTACAGTCGTGAGATGAGGCCGCCCAGGCTGGTGAACGTCGGCATCCGTGACGATACTTTCTCTCTCAAGATCTTCCCATATGTTTGAGACTTATCCAATCTACATGTGGAAGTAAGTGAGATCTCGTAAACGTGGTTTTGTGGCTAGCAGCACTACACATTTGGAAAGTGTGTTCTCTTATAACCATATTCATGTCCTATCACTACAGCCCATGCGTGTTCTCTTATTTAATATTCTCATCTTATTTTCCTCAACTGGAAACTCACTCGATAGTGCTTGATGGACTCACGTTCCGTTTATTTACGCGCATGTGTTTTATTTAGCATTGTGCACTACTACTTGCTATCCCAGACTTAACATGATATTGACAATATCCGGCGAATGCGGCAATTTAGAGAATGGACTTTGAGAACGCCGCCTTCCGGAGGAGAATCGATTTGTTGGCTGAGATTTCCCAAATTACAGTTTGATTTTTGGATTTCTAAAGATTGATTTTTGGATTGATGGGGCATTAGGTTGAAAATTTGATAGGTTTAAGTGGTCAAATTGCAATTTCTTTTTAAGTTTTATTGTTTTTCAATTTAGTTCTTGTGGCAAATTAGTGATTTAACAAATTTCTAGGAGCTGAATGAAAATTGTATTATTTTTAGTATATTACAATTTGGTTCACGGGTCATGTTTGTAATTAATCAAAATATAATTATTATTTCATACTTTTATATTTTAATTGTTGAAACAAACTATACTTTTATTTCAAAATGAAAATAATAATATTATGTTTATAACTTTATATATTTTGTACATTTTGGTTAGGTCGATTATTTTGATTAATAAAAAAATCAACATCGAATTGAATTAAAGTATTTTTAAAAGATAAAAATCGTACGACCCACCCACCTTCTTTCATGGGTCTCCTCGAACCGAAAATTTTAATTATATTGTTTTCATTCGATATTGTGCAATCGACTAGTCATTAATGTGCAACTTGTATAACCATAATGTGCATTAATAATATATATATATATATATATATATATATAATATTTTTATATAGTTCGTTAATTTTGGTTATATTGATTATTTTTAGAAAATAAATTCGACATTGAATTGAAGTAATAGTGATTTTAAAATTAAAAATAATTTATCGAACCGTAATATAAAATTTTGAATAGAAAGCTCTAATTTGGTCGATTTTGCTCTCGCTATCTATTGTGCAACCTTCTAGTCGCGATAAAGTGCATCGTTTTATTTTAAAAAGTGCAATGTGATGTTTTATATTGCGCAACATGTCGATATATAAAATGCACTATCGAAATTTTAGTATTTAGCATGCTTGTGTATTTTTTTTATTTGTTTGTGGACATATGGCACGATGTATGCTAAAATATATGAATTTTCTTTTTTTTAGATTTATGTTATGTTGTATTTTTGTAGGAGCTATCTATTTTTAGATTTACGTTGTAAGTTATTGACGTTAATGATGAAGTGTGATTATAAAGTGCACCTAGTTGTTTTATAAAGTGCAATATGTTTTATTATAAGGTGCAACATGTTGTATTATAAGGTGCAACGTGACGTTTTATACTGTATTATAAGATGCAACGTGATGTTTTATAAAGTGCAACATTGTGTTTTATAAAGTGCGTGTATTTTTATATAAAATGCAATACTTTATATAATATCATATAAATTATGTGTATTCGAAAACTAGTTTTAGTAGATATAATTGTACATCAAATTAACTAAAATAATTTAGTATATTTTATTATTTGTTATTATAAAAGTATATTTAGTATTTTTAATATATTTAATATTTTAATATTTTTATTTAATATCTATACTATTTTTCAAAGTGTACTTCTGAAAGACGGAGTTTGGACCCGGACAAGCAACACAATTCATCCAAAGCTCTATTTTCAAACGCCAATCAAAACTGGACAACTTTGTATTTTAAATAATTGAAAAAATTGTGAAATTGCAATAAGATCCTTAGAAAATGTTCAATTTTCAAAGCCTACCCTAAATCATTTCTTTTTTTTTTTTTCGCGTACCCCAAATCATAGGTCGTCGCCGGTGCTCTGAACTTCAAATTCGTCGGGAAGGCCCGATTTTGGGAGGCGTCGTCACCTTCATGTACGTCGACATCTTGGACACCATCAGAACCTCCGTTCTTCGCGTCCACGTCGGTGCCGTAATTTGCAGTGCGCGGTGACAGACGGGAGTTCTGCGACGGGGTTCCTGGGCTTCGACAACAGGAGGAATGTCTCAGCTATGGCGAGAGCTGGTTTCCGGTGGTAGGGCATGAAAATTGAACGGCGGGAAGACGCGTTCTCCTGGAGAGCTTCTCGAGCAGGTTTCAATTATCTGCCATTTTCAAGGTGAAGAGCTTCTCGAGCAGGTTGACCTAATTGCTCTCATCTCGTGGCGCCGCCTAGGAAGACAACAGCGAAGCTTCGGCCGGTTCGAGCGGTCGTCGGTGACCAGATGCTTACCGGCAAGACCAGGAAACCGCCGTGGTGCTCTACGTGTGTGTGAGAAAGGAAAACACAGAGATCTGGTGGAGAACAGGGCGAGGAAGGGGCGCACATTTTTTGTCAGACAAAATACCGGAACTACCCTCAATGAATGTAAAAATATTGAATTATCTTGACCATTGTATTATTAGATTTGATGGCTAAGATGTATTCTTATTTCTTTCATTGAGAATCATTCTCACTTGAACCCAACTATATAT